GTCTCCATTTCCATTCCTCCTCCCAACACCCTCCCACTCTCCCCACTCCCTCCCCTCCTCCCTCTCCATCCCCAAGAGCAGTCAGGGTCTCCCGCCCTGTGGGTAGTTCAAGCTCCTCCCCCCTCCCTCCATGTCCAGAAAGGTGAGTATCCAAACAGACTGGATCCCAAAAATCCAGTATATGCAGAGGAAACAAGTCCCAGTGTCATTGTCAATGGCTTTTCAGAGAGACTCCGGGCCAGCCACATTCAGAGAATCCGGCCTCATTCAGAGAATCTGACTGGATCACGTGCTCGCTCAGTCCCAGTCAACTTGTATCAGGTCCCATTCTCCTTCCTCATGTTCTTCCTCCTTCTGCTCCTCATTTGGACCTTGGGGGACTCCGTCCGGTGCTCCAATGTGGGTCTCCGTCTGTATTGCCATCCCTCGTCGGATGAAGGTTCCCTCTGATCTTGCCTTCCTTGCTCACGTTCTCTTTCCATCTGCTTCTCCTTTGGACCTAGGGAGTTAAGTCCAGTGTTCCAATGTGGATCTCCGTCTCCGTCTCCATCTCCATCCATCGCCAGATGAAGGATCTATGGTGATAAGCAAAATATTCATCAGTATGGTTATGGGCCAAGGCCAGTTCAGGCACCCTCTCCTCTGTCCAGAGAACAAGCTGGGGATCTCTCCTTGGACCTGGGATCCCATTTATAATCAAGTCTCTAGTAAACCCTAAACTGACTCCCTTAGTTGAAATATATTCTTCCCTGATCCCATATCTATTCTTCCCCCCCCCAGTCCCTCGAGCATTCCCCATTCCTCCCCTGCTCCCTTCTCTCTAACCCTCTCCCCCCCTTCCAACAACCCTCCTACCCCCCATGCACCCGAGGTTACCTGGGACTCTTGTCTATTTCCAATCTCCAGGAGGAAAACTACCTGAATTTTCTTCAGGTTCACCCTCCTATCCAGCTTCTCTAGGATCACGAATAATAGGCTCAAAGACCTTTAATTATGGCTAGAATCCATTTATGAGTGACAATTGTATATTCTTTTCCACTGTAGCAATAAAAGCAAACAGGTAAACCATGACTCCATAATCCTCTTGCTTTTCTACTTATCCAAAAGCTCCAGGCTTCTAGAACACAAGCCCAATATGTTCATTCCTTGTCAAAAAACTGATCCAAGGTCATTTAAAAGGCACCATATGACATTATATGACTCTACATTCTCCAGCCTCTTGGTTCTAAGTCAACAATTCAGCCATGTGCTCTATTCAAAGTGAGTGATTCCTTTTTCAAGCTGTATGTAGGGCCTCTTCTCTACTGACAGATATAGTGGATGCTTCGCTGTTTCTACATGTTGGAATACTTAATCTTTTAAAACTCAACACATTAAAATCTTAAATTCATATTTATTAAACTTATAAGAAGATTAAGTTATATAAACATAGCAACATCATGGTTTCATATCTGTAAAAAGAAAGTAAAGGGGGAAAACCCATGACATTAATATTACTGCATGTTTGTACCTATGAAATCTGTTCAAAACTTTGTTCACTTGAGAAAATTATAACTTGAGACCTAATATTGTCAAATGATGACACAGAATAGATACAAAGTATGTGAAACATTTTCAATTTCATAAAAGTTCACCATATCTTGCAATCTGTATATTAATTTTTATTGGAGAGGGGAGGTATTTAAAATACTAAGTCCAATTGTGCGTCTTGTATATTTTTTCATAACATGAATAATAAAAATGCTGCAAATACATTTGGGAAATAAAATAGTTTGATTTGTTGTTCCTTAAGAGTTTGCATTATATACTATTGTGGCATATTAATTAAAGAGTACACAGTCAAATAACCTCAAAACAGTTCCTTTGGTATTTTCATAAGTAAAATAGTATGTGATCAAGCAATATTTCATGCAGTGATCATAAGTACTTGTGGTATCATGCTCTCTTGCACTGATTAGGATACACATGTGCAGAAAGTTTATTGGAGAGCACTCTTTAGACAAAATTCTGTATATAAATAGCAGAAACAATATCCATCAGAAGGAGAAGCTGACTCAGACAAACTCATGTGAGTTCTTAAGGGACCACTGCATTAACAGTGTTCCAAGATGTCTCATATTTCAGCAAGGAGCCTGTAATGATTTGAATAAAAATGGCCACCACAGGCCCTTACAGAGCAACACTATTAGGAGATATGGCATTGTTGGAGTAAGTGTGGCCCCGTGGGAGGAAGTGTGTCAATGGCGGTGGGATTTGAGGTTTCAAAAGCTCAAGCCACATCCAGTATCACTCTCTTTTCTGATGCCTGCCAATCTGGATGTAGAACGCCCATTTACTTCTCCAGCACCATGTCTGTCTACATGTAACTATGCTTCTCACCATGGCAATAATAGACTAAATCTCTGAAACAGAAAGCCAGCTCCAATGAAATGTTTGCCTTTACAATGATTACCATGCTCATAATATCCCATCATAGCAATAAAATTGACGTAGGAGTCCCCTCTGTGTGCTGTGATTACCATTAATAATTAAAGAAACTACTTTGGACCTATAACAAAGCAGAACTTAGGTAGGCAGGGAAAGCTAGGCTGAAAGCTGGGAGAAAGAAGCACAGATTCAGTGAGAAGACACAGAGCTGCCTCTGGGGACAGACGTGCTGAATAAGCCACTGCCACATGGCGATACACAGACCAATAGAAATGGGTTAAGTTAATATGTAAGAGTTATCCAGTAAGAAGCTAGAGCTAATGGGCCAAGCTGTAATTTAATTAATATAGTTTCTGTGTGATTATTTTGGGTCTAAGCTAGCCGGTTGGCCAGGAACCGACAAGCAATCTCCCTCCAACATAAAATGCTAACAAAGACAGGTCCTAAGACTTTGTACTGCTACACCCAGAAGTCAATGCACTTAATCTGCTACCAGCAAGAAGACACAACCTTGTGTAAAGCAGATCATATCTCATTCACAATCAAACATCTGAGCATCTAGTAGTGTATGTCTTTCATGTGAAGGACTATCTCAGGTGTGTGCCTCAGCACTCACCACAATGCTGTTGTTTGCAGAAGGGAGGGTTTCATGTTTTTTTATATTTTTAGACTTAATTTCAACTGTTCCCACAAATATAATAAACGCATCCTATCCTTTATTCAGTCATTTACTTTTTTATTTAATTTGTTTGTATTGCCTCCATGAGTTTATGCACACAGCATGCATGGAGATGCCCTCAGGAACTCAGATCCCCCACATTCTAGAGTTAAACGTAGTCATGAATTGCCTGATCTGGGTTCTAGGAACTAAACCCAGGTTCTCTGCAAGAGTGGTAAATTGTCTTAACCCCTGGGCCATCTCTCCAGCACACAGCCCATCCTTTAAACTCAGATATTTAATGTTAAATTCTTAGACTGACAGTAACTCTGCAAAAATGATCTTAGAATTTCAGCTTTCAGGAACAAGACAATAAAGACTTACATACCAATCAGTACTTTTTAACTCAAGAATAAATTTTCAAGGTTCTGTTTTCAATACTGTCCTGTAAATGTCCTTGTTCCCAACCTGTTCATGTAGGTACTTTAAGCCAATGCAACAAAAATTTGGGGGATCATTACTCAATAACCTTTCCCCACCCTCTTGCACAATGGCCCCTGAGCCTCGGGGGCAGGAGCTGTGATGTCGATGTATCCATTGCATCTGGGCTCCCACAATCCCTGGGGCTCTCTACTGTGTCCAGTTGTGCTTTCCTGTGATGATCTAGAGTTAAAGTTGGCTCTGAATTGCCTGATATGGGTTGCGGGAACTGCTGGGAAGAGAAGCTTCTCTGATGAGGGGTGGTAGTTACGCTTCCTGGGAGGATAAGCACAAGATTGAGAATATAGCTAAGAACTGTGCTGCTCTACAAAGTGACAGTAATAGACTCTCTTCTAAGGAGCGTGATCTCATTGTCCCTGAGAGCCTGGGAACTTGACTAGGTTTTTAGTACCAGGGATGATTTCCTATCAAATGAACTTCAAGTCTAATTAGACAGCTGTTGGTTACAAACATGTGAGTGCCACTTACTGCACCTTTGTAGATATGTTGGCATTCTGGTCATTGTTGTGGTTAATAGGAGTCACTGCTGGGTCTGAAGCGGGGGTGGAAAGATTGTCAGAGCCAAAATACCAGAATGCCTGCTATGAAAAAGTCTCTCACAGAAATAGCAGCATAAAAAGACCTAAACAACTGCAATTCAATAGACCTATTGATACAGAAAGGGGAAATCTCACAAGGCCCCAACCCCAGACAAAGAGCTATAGGCAACAAATGACCTCAGAGAGAGGGAGAATTTGTCTCTCCCAGATTAGCCCCCTAACTGATTTTCCAATACAAAGAGTTCAGCCCTGAAAACTTACACACACATACAACAAAAGCAGACTAGGCAAGTTGTGGTAATTAATGCTTCAGCATACATGTACACACATGAATATGTGTGTAGCGATAATAACAAAAGAAAAAGAGGTTATTAAAGTGAGAGTTAGGAAGCAGGAGAGGGGTGAGAGGGATGGGACTTAGAAGAGGCTAGAGGGCACCAGGCAAAGGCAAAATTGATGCAATTGTATTTTAATCAAATGTATAAAATATAAAAGTTGAAAAAATAAAAATAACTTTAAAAAATCATCTGGGGAAATGTAGAGTCTTTAAAATTGCTAAGAATATAAAGCAATGCCAAAGAAGACACAAACTGCTCCCTAAAGATAGTTCATAGATTTAACATTAGGTCCTACAACATTCCTTTTGATAATGTGATGCTTTGTAGGGTAGAATTGTCTTTGTCTTCTGGGTAAAAAGTGTTTTAATGCACAATACACATAGAATAAAAATGTCGGTGGCAGCAGCTAACTTGATGCTGAAGTCTGAGAAGTTGTATTATGGCCATCAGGTACAAAAGTCACATTAATAAGTGATTGTGACTTTTAAATAAAAATCAAATACTATATCATCCTCACTGTAAGTACAGTATGCTTTTTTCACTGTGGAACATTTCACAAATTTGCATGTCATCCTTGTACAGAGACCATGAGAATCTCTGTACAATTTCTACTTTAGTATGTGCTGCCAAAGTGAGTACATTACTTTTTTTAAATTGCAGCAGGAAGAGAACATTTTCTGTCTCTGTCCTTCTTCTCAATATATACACTAGTAATAGCACTTATTGATGACCACAAGAACTGTGAAATTACTGAGTCTTGAGTCGTTTATGTCATGAACTATAGACATTTGCAAACATGTTTCAACATGTGATCAGTATTAAATGTTCCAAATATCAGGAGCTACGTGTTCAACATCTCTTTGGGTTTGGTGCACTGGCTTATAGAGAAGTCAGTGTATGTTAAGAAAAACATAGTATTTGAATTCAGTCCTACTCGTGAACTAGTATGTATGTCTATCTAAAGAATTAGCATTAGAAGATTCTGCTGAGACAGAGAAATCTGTCTTTGAAGAATATTATTAATTACATTGTACCTTGCATTGAGAGCTCATGGCTCACCACATCAAGCATGCTTTTTTTTCTTCAATGTCCTTAGTTCCTATATCCTTCTAATACTAGCAAATCAAATGAGAGCCTGGTAACTGAGTTCATGCAAACTCCCTGCCTCCTTTTTCTCTTGTCCTCCACGATTAAACAACTGTTCTTAGAAACCAGACCACTCCCTTTAGTTACCTGCACTTGAATCTTAGGCAGATATCCCACCCACCACTTGTGAGACCAAAGGAAAGATCCCACAAGGGTCCCCTCACACCCTGCAGAGCCACATGTGGCCACGTCTATGGTTTCTTTGGCTATTTTGTATGTGATATTAACTACTGTTCTTTCTTCCCCATGTCAAATAACTCATACTTTCTCTCTGGCCTCCTTTTTAGTGGGTACTGTACCTCCATAACCAATCAGAAAGCTCTTTCCTGATCCTTGTCTTACCCCTTGTCTGCAGTCACAGACCTGAATGAGTTCGTCCTTCTCAGTGTCAGTGCACACATACCTTGACCCCAGAAGTTTCCTGCTTAATGCACTCTGAGTTGGCTCCTTGCACCACTAAAATGACTTTCAGAAAACTCAGTGGTAACTATTACATTAATACAGACAGCCAACTAACTTTATCTTCTTTCTCCCTGGACTATAACTCAGAGTATGGTGCAGCTTCAAGGTCAGAGTTTCTTACTTCAAAACAGGGCCTCAGGACTACTAGCTGTGTGGTTCCAGCAGCTTTGCTAATCTCCTGCTATCGGACTCTGTGAAAAGTGTATACTATAAAGGACTTATACAATAGAGTTCTTTTGTAGAGCAAATTAGTGAAATGATTTCTTGTGTAGCATAGAACACATGTTGAATATGTGTTAGTTTGATTTATAATTCTCTTCCTCAATGAAGACAAGCCTCTGGCGATTATTCACATTATGGACATGATAAGAGCAGAATCCCTGATAACCTTTTAGTTTGAACTATCTTCTAAATGATTTTTAAACAGTTTTTTTTTCTTTGAGCTGGAAGATTCCTTCAAGACAGATGATACAGTAATTTTTGAACATACAATACAGGTAATACATCCTCCAAGGGAAATTGGACAACTTTGGTAAAAGCCTACTTAAAACAGGGGGATAGGGGTGGGAGACATTGCTCAGCAGCTAAAAGCACTTGTTGCTCTTGTAGAGGACCCAGATTTGGTACCCACCCAAGAGAGGGCACTCATAATCATCTCTAACTCCAGTTCCAGGGGATTTGGCGCCCTCCTCTACCCTCCACAACCAAACACGCATGAAACACACATACAAACTTGCAGGGAAAATATCCTGAACTCATAAAAATATACTAAAACACCAGGGATCCTCAGCTCTGAGCTGGAATATGGACTGGATTTTCCAAGGCCAAATTTCACACCGCTGTTCATTGTGGACCTGCTCAGGCACAGATCACTGCTGTCCTCTGGCTCTAACTCAAGAATCTCAAGGCTACTCTCAGAATCTTGAATCCACAACCCTCCACCTTGATAGCTCACAGGAAAGCAAAATCTCCAACCTTTCTACTTTAAAAGTTGAACACAGCATCTAATCTACATGGGTAGTAGAAAAAGACAAGATCTCCCGAGTAAATTGGAAGCATGGGGACATTGGGAGAGGGTTGGAGGGGAGGGGAGAGGCAAAGGAGGGGAACGGAGAAAAATGTAGAGCTCAATAAAAATCAATTTTAAAAAATTGGGCACAGCATCCATGGGGACATAGTAGCTGTGGGGACACAGCATCCGCGGGGACATAACATCCATGGGGACATGGCATCCGTGGGGACACAGCATCCGTGGGGTCACAGCATCCATGGGGACAATCCTGCCACCATCTTACTCTTCTCTATTTGACTCCTAACTTGTCTGCATTGTAGCATTTCTGACTCTTGTTATCCTTCCTTCTAATGCCTCACAGCTCTCCAGAGTGCTGATGTTTGTTCCATAAGGTTCTCTTTCCACTTGGCTTCAACTATCAATACAATGACAAATCTAAACTCTCCATGCCTTAGATCTTTCTCCCAATGATAGAAATATATGCCTAGGTAGTTGCTCATTTGACTATCCCCACAGGTTCCCAAATCAAACATCCTGAACGTGAAACTATCTGTTGAAGACTTGTTTCTGTTTTAGAATCTATTCTGTCTAGGTGTTGAAACTCTCTCTTCTTTTACTGTGGTTGTCACAGTATGGTGCCTCCTCACTCACCTCACTATCAACATCTGTGTCTTACTTTCTTCAATGTTGTGACAGAATTACTGATAAAACTCACTTAGGGGAGAAAAGGTTTTATTTGACTTGCAATTCCAGGATACCATTCACTTTGAGAAGTAGTGGCAGGAGTGTGAGGTAACTGGTTACACTGTATCATGAGAAACAGAAAAATGCTGTACTTCACTTGCTTTCTCTTTTATTCAGTCTAGGTCCTCAGTCTGCAGAATGATACTGTCCACGTTCAGGATGAGTGTTCTTTACTCAGTTGGACTTCCTTGGAACCTCCCTTACAGGAACTCTCAGAGATGTGTTTCCTACATTGTTATCAATCTAGCCACAATGAGAAGCAAGATCAACCATCACAGGCACCAAATCTATTACTATCGATTACTCCATGCAGAGTTCTCACTGTCCCTTGCTAGAATTACAATGTCTCCAAAATTTCGTTAGACAAACTGTTTTTACATCTTCTTTCTACTAAGATGAGATTTTGAAAGTGGAAGAATTGCTAATTACTTTAATATTGAAGTGTGTGCTGTATAATAAATCTAAAAAGCCTTCAATGCTTTAACACTATTATGAAAAGACAATGTCTGCCATAATGACTTTTACCGAAATCCAGAAGGAAAAATAAGGATTGGTTATTAAGGCAAATATTCAGGCATTCACAAAGTATGAATGTCATAATTAGTCCAAAGTCAAATAGACAAAAGGACTAAATTATGTTGATGGCAATATTATTTGAAAAATACAGATGATTTTACTTTTAGGTATGATGCAGTATACAACTAACCTACAGAAAGAAAAATATACCTCCAGGATGAAGAAACTGCTCTTTCAAAACATCAGAGAATAGTGATAAACAGCTAAAATCCCCGAGAAAAGAGACATTCAGGCCAAAGATCTAGAACTCCTCCACAGATTTTAACTTAATGTTTAAGTAACAAGTTCATTTTCTCTGTCAAATAAAGAAATGAAAAACAGGGAAGTTTTCAAGTGCATCAGGGAAAACTCCTGTCACAGCGTAAAGAGATGATAAAGAAAATCTATTTTTATTAAAGGCGGGAACACACACACACACAGCAAGGCACACATAAAGCAGGACCTCTGAGAAACAGAGAGGAGCTCAGGAAGTCTATGCTCAGCTTCTGGATGGCTGGGGTTTGTAAGGGTCTTGGGTAGGCTAGAATGAAATCTTCTTCCCTTAGTTTAAGATTGGTCAGGTTAAACAACAAAGGGGGAGCTGATAGGCACACACTTCCAGTAAATCTATCCTGGTCCAGACTTAAATGCCTTACTTTTACGGAACACATTAAGTAGTCTTAAAGGTATATTTTTCCTATGTGTGTACAACAGTCATATGAAAGTTCAAACTTGGTATCTTCCATATCTGTTGGTTTGTGTATATTGTTTATTTTCCTAATTTGGGGCTACCTACTTCACTTTTTACCTATTTTGTAATTTTCTCACTGAATGGTGGCTGTGATGTGCTGACAATTTTACACTCCCTAGGTTACATTCTGCTGCGCAGGGGGAGACTTTTTTATTTGCCAGGCACAATTGACCATTCGGGATATTTTGTGCTTGTCCTTTTCTTGGTGTCTAGCCCATTACAGCTCTTCAGTACAGGACTAGGTCATCATTTCTGTCACCTCTATCACCTCTCAATCAGTGGATCTTAAAGGCCTTATTCAACACTGAGAGTTGCCAATTTTCCTGTTTGACATTTTGGTCTCTTAAGGTTTTTTCCTGCTTGACTTCTTAGAAACTGTCCGTGTATAAATGAAATTTAGGACATAATAACTGCTTCCAGAAGCACTTTCATCCTGTTTTTAGGTTATATTTCCTTGTGGTTCTCTTTTGCTTCAGCATCTTGGATCCTTGCTAATCAGTCACTTACTTTGCTCACAGGCCTGAGAGACAGCTGCAAACCGAATCACCTTTCGTTATGGGTAGGCACCAACGGCTAGCACTAAAAAGTAACAGCTGCTGATAATGAAGGACTAGGACTTAGATGCCCGGTGGGCAGGAAGATAGGAAAGGGGGTCGGTCGCAAGTAGGTGGTAAAGATGACAAACATCTAGCCTTTTCTTTTATTTATTTATTTATTGAAAATTTCCACCTCCTCCCCACCTCCCTTTTCCCTCTTCCTCCCCACCTCCCCCTCCCTCTCTAATCCTAAGAGCAGTCAGGGTTCCCTGCCCCATAAGAAGTCCAAAGTCCTCCCCCCTCCATCCAGGTCTATAAAGGTGAGCATCCAAACAAGCCAGGCTCCCACAAAGTCAGTTCATGCAGTAGAATCAAAACTCAGTGCCATTTGCCTTGGCTTCTCAGTCAGCCTTCATTGCCAGCCACATTCAGA